ATTCTTGTAATTCTAAGGTGTGAATTGTTGATAGACATAGTAGTTTTGAAAATGCAGCTGAATATTATTGCAATTCCTCAAGGTGTATATTTGTCACATTTTCTTAACATTAATGTTGCACCGTTTTCAACAGTGCAACAATGATTTAAAGAATAATTCAAATCATAATTTTCAATCATCAGATTTAAAACTAATCATAACATTGATACCTTCAGGGGTGGATTTAGGAAATTTGGGGCCTAGGTAAAGACAGGCAGGGGGCCCTATGAATTGAGAAGACAACACATACAAGAGACCCATTATACAGACACAGAAATTTTAATAAAATAGACATAAATTATTTGTTCTATTTTTTGTCCCTCTCTTCTTGTCCCCTTTCCTGTCTTTTGCCTCTCTATGTTTTGTACTTAGATGACTTTTCACACTGTCTCAAAATGAATGAAATATTTTTTTCCAGGCACTAAGCTCACTTAGCCGATTGCTCCTTCCTGTGTTTCCAAAAAGGCAACGGCAAATGTAAATAACAGTCCTTCTTTTTACTGTAGACAAGCCATGATCTGTTTATCTGTTCTACAATTTTAATTTGTATGAAATAATAGCTGCATGAATCATGACAGCAGACCAGATAGAGGAGAGCAGGAGGCGGGTGCTTCGGTGAAAAGTAGAAGAGGCAGGTTTTGGCATGAAAACAAGGTTCCGTATTATTATCAGGGCAAGATCGTATTTCTGAGTCAGCACAAATCTAAAAGATATATTGAGCCCTGGCTATGAACTGAGGCTCGTGCTAAATCTGTCCGGCACTAAAATCTGAGGAGGCGACGTCAAATACTGAGGCACAGCTGCTCCTGGACCAAGATCAAACCTGCTGTCTGTTTTCTGATATTCACTCAAATCAGTTTTCTCGAGCAGTTCTAGCCTTTTTTGTTAAAAAGACTCAAATCTATGTGTTTAGTGCTCAGGTTTTCTTGTATATGTCTGACTTGGCTGAGACTAATGAGGCAAAAACCTGACTAAAGTAGGCTAAAGTACTGAGGAGGTTGAATTTAATATAGACTGGCAGAGGATATGATACTGCTCATACAGTATATTTATGCTCTAAATCAAAATCTAATAAAAGCCGGGTGATACTGTTACTGATGACTGTAGCAGGTTACATGGAAACTCTTGTACCTCCACACCCTAAAGGCACCTGTTGTAACTTGGAGAATATTTTTTAAATATATTTTAGTCACAGTTCTGTCTAATTTCTAATTTTTTTTTATTAGGAAACCATGAAATTCTTTCTTACATCTTTTCTCCTTTTTTCTATTTTTCCTCTTCTGTTCTACTTACATTGCAATGTCCATATAATCTGTAAAACTCCCTTCATAATTATAATAAAGCAATTTATATGCATGAAACAAGCGGAACAATATGGCAATAGCCGTACTGTTCCACTTGTGAAAGTAAAATCTGTTGGGCTCTCTTTTTGGCATCAAGACAATTATTCTTATTGCCACACTGCCAAAAGGAAACCATGAACTTAAATAAGGATCTCTTCTTACCTATAGAGCTGAAGGAAGATTACTGATCATTTGCATACAAGTACCATCCACAAGTGTCCAACAATATATATAGTACCTCAAATAATAGTTTGAACTGAAAATGAAAATTAAACACGTTGTAAGGGGGAAATTTAAAAGGTTAGCTGGAATGGAAACTTTAATTGTGTCTGTTTTTGTGAGAAATTATAGGCTAGGATTTTACAGTAAAATATCCCCTCATATCACACTGTGCATATATCACAGACTTTGTTGCCTTTAAAAAAAAAAAAAGTTGATTTCCTTGAAATAATAACCTTAAACTTTTCATTGTGTGACTGAAAAACTGTGAGAACTGTTTTCCATTTTACATGAGAATCTGAAATGTGTGGCCTGCATTAATTTTCCATCTGTCTTTGTCTTTTCCAGTTTTGTGGATCTACAGAATGAATGTTTTTTCAGTATTACTTGGGATGATAAGCCAAACTCTGCTGGATAAATTTGAAAGCGTTTGTTGACATAGTTTTTTTTTTTTTTTACATTTAGGTCTGTGGTCTGATTGGGTTAGGAACATTGGTATCCTTTAACCCCAACCAGTTTTCTATTATTCATCTGTCTTCTTTTAGGGTTGCTGTTTTATCTCTTTGTCTTTCCACCACATATTTCTTATGTACACATAAGTACCTTCTTCTTTCATATTGGTTGTGTGTCTTAAGTGCAGCCTATAGTTTCAATATTCTATTAAAACCAGTTATCTTTTCCCTTTATTAAATATACAAAGGATTTTAAATCTTGGTGTTTAGGATGAATTATCTAATTTATCCATTCCTGTTCCTAAATCAAAATAATTAAGATATTTGTACAAAAATTTATATCCAACTGGTTTTGGTAAAGGTGCATGTATGCATATGTGTGTGAACATTACAATTGTTTTTTTTACCATTCGTTGCAAGATTGCTGACATGTTTTATCTTCCGTTCTATGTTGTAATTTTTCTTTTTTGGAAAAAAAACACACCCATATTTTAGTTGCATTTAACAATTGAATTTTAAAGTATTAAACGTATTAAAATCCCAATAACGTTAATCAAGTCTCTGTTTTGGATTCAACAAACCTTTAAAATAATGTATAATTCACTTTTATTATGTCATATATTCCAAAACTTCAGAGACTTTGAAGTGATTAATATTTTGATTTATTATAAATAAGTTTGAAAACATTTAAAAAAACTGACAGAAATATATCTACAAATATAGATCCTTATCCAAACAATTTATACACCTTATGAAAAAAGGAAATTCTTTTGAGGACCATGATGTTCACATTTTGGACAAAGAAGACAGGTGGTTTGAAAGGGGTGTGGAGGAAGCCATATATGTTAAGAAAAAAAACAACAACCTTAAACAGATTGGATGGACTGAGGTTTCAGTTTTCAAAAACCAACAATGCAGTGATAGAGCTGATTCCTTCCCATTATCATTGCAAGCCCCATCCCCATACAGGGGACCAGGACATCTCACCTGTTCAGCCAGGCCAACAATTCCCCCTAACAACCCCCTTTTCAGAGGCATACCCCAGTGTCGGGTATTGCAGGCTAACAAAGAACCCAAACAACCCTCATTCCTAAGGGGCGGACCCTTTCGTCCGCTTCAATATGCGTGTTTTCTGAGCCAAAACAAGGCTTACTTTTCCACTCTATAAAGCCTCAAACTCAGTCCTAATTCTGACATTTTGAATTGAAAAGGGTTCCTGGATGGGAAGCATAATGTCTTCAAACTTGGAAACAAAGTCAAGTGGATTGTTTTTTAACTTTTTTTAGAAACTTATCCAGAAGACTTTTTACTGGAAAACCAAAACTGTGGAATTAACCTGTTACAAGTCAATCAATTGGATATATAATCCAGATAAAATGGGTATAAATCAATATTTCCTCCTTGATATTTGCAATTTTTTTTACATTGAGTAGATGGAATTGATTTTTCCTGAATCAAATACCTGATCCGTTTGTTGGACAGGTATAAGGTGCCGATGTTTGTCTCTCCATTAATTCAGAGGCCAAGGGCCACACGGATTGAGCTCTAAGGCTCTCTGATCTCTGAGCATGAGCGGCATGTCTTGCTGGCGGCTCTACTCCATAAAACACACGGTAGGATTGCAACACTGTGACAGCTGACTGGCCCAAAAAAGCTTCACGGGAAAGATGTCATGTACACCAACCCACCAAAGAAATAAAATAGAGCGGCAGGGCATGACAAACCATAAAGAGATCAGATGAGCTGTTGATCTGTTGATCTAAAAATCCAATTAGAGAAGTCGTTTAATGCAGATTTACGTTTGATCAAGGCTTGAAGAGCACTTTTTGGCAGGTCTGAGACAGGATTTTGGGTTCTTGTACACTTTTTACAGATCTGTATGAGCAGCGGCTGGAGTTCAACAGATGGTTCATATGTCATCAGATCCTAAAATATACACCCAACAAAACATGAGACAACGCAAGATTTTCCTAGCATTATCAGAGTGGATTCATTTTGAGCACATAAAGCTCTAAACAGTCCTATTAAATTGAACGATTTACATGTTTTCTTATCTTCTTCTCTTAATTTACAGTTAATATGTTCAAAAGCTGAGCTACTGTAATTGACAGTGACTTTTTATTGGACAGCCATCCCCCGGTGCTTACAGCAGGTTGTGTGGGACAGCTGTGCCACAGACACATTACAGTGGGGGTTGTCTAAATGCCAAAGCTTCTGTATTGTCCCACACCTCCCCCCTGACAGCTTTGTATCCTCTTGAGTCCATTTATGACAGAACTCTGAGAAATCCTTAATCCACTACAGAGGTAGGACAAGCCCGATGATACCACTGTGCATCTGATCCCGGTGTTGAGGTATGTTGTGAGGGAGCTGCTGAAACTGTCCATGGAGGACCAGCAAGCCGCACTGGCTAACATGACACGCCTCAAAGAGAGGAGATTTCACAGGGGCTTATCCAATCACCTCGCTGTTATGTGTGAATAGTTTCTGATGCTTGACATGCTATTGTGATGCATCAGAGCTGACCTCTGAACAAACAGAGAGCACGTGGAAATCAGAAACAACTATCATTCGTATATTCTTAAATTTTTATTAAATCAATAGCAATAAATGGAGCCAAAGTTTGATATCAGCCTTAAGGTTTCTATTTCGTCTTTCTCAGTGATAACTGAGTGAGGATTATCAGCATGTTTCTCCCAAATAATACCTCTTAGAGCACTGCTACCTTTTGACACTCTGCTTCCTTGTGGAAGGTGATAGAAATCAGAGATGTTTAGGGGCAGCATCCTCTCTGATGCCAGCACTCCATATATAGTCACATAAGTGGTCAAATGTCATGAAGGAGCCAATCAGTCAGAAGATTTGAGAAAAAAAGCAAAAGGCCCCGGCGTGAGAGAGCAGCTGCTCCTCCTTCCAAAAAGTATTTGGTGTCCAGTATCTGACATATTTGACTCTCCACAGGCTCCTTGACCTCGCACTCCAGCTTGGTGTTCTGTGTGGTTCAGACGCTCCCAACTTTTCTGTTCAGTTTCTCAGATCTGCAGCTAGCGCGGACACTAAGCAGCCATGGATGCCATCAAGAAGAAGATGCAGATGCTCAAGCTCGACAAGGAGAATGCCTTGGACAGAGCTGAGCAGGCCGAGTCAGACAAGAAAGCATCTGAAGACAGAAGCAAACAGGTTAGTGTCTCATTTAAAAGCTGCTCCTGTTCCTTTAAGGACAAGGTGCTTTGGAAAAGCTCATCACATTACACAATGTGGTGCAGAGCGCCAGCATCCAGCTATGTTTTCATGTATAGAATCAAGAAATAAAAAGCTTAAATACCATAGTTCATTTTCTATTTTATGTGATAAATTTCTAAATTGAATTTCCAGAAAAAGGTTGATCTGTGTGTCTATTTATACCTACCTTTAGGCTAAAATATAAATTTCAAAGATGTAAGATAATTTTTTTTTTTTTCTAACATAAATACGAAAATACCAATTCCCTCCATTAAACATTTTAATTGCATTATTGAGTGTGTTTGAATACATGTAGAGGCTAAAACAAAGTCCTCTGGTTTATCTGCTCACCAGCTTGAGGATGACCTGGTAGCATTGCAGAAGAAGCTGAAGGGAACTGAGGATGAGTTGGACAAGTACTCTGAGGCCCTGAAGGATGCCCAGGAGAAACTGGAACTCGCTGAGAAGAAAGCCACAGACGTGAGTTTGGTTTTAGGGAGGAAACTGTTTCATAAATCTAATGCGGCTTTGCCACACAGACTGCCGCGGATGCTTAGGTAATACTGTAATAAAGCACAAAATACACTTACGCGTTGCATATGAGGAATATAAGGGTGTAGGTAAATTTAGTCCTCAGGCTTGATATGGTAATGTCACAGTTCACAGGCTAACTGTTGCTATGAGGTGCCATTTGAATGAATTTTATTGCCAGTGTCCGGTTTCAGTCGGGCCTTTTTTACAGGCACATTTTGGCCTGCAAAAAAAATCCCTGATAGATATGTGGTCTTTCCTGGATCAGTTGCCCTTTGAAGGTCAGTCCAACCCAGATGGAGTTACAACCGCTGAGTTGGTCCAATGTTTAGCCAATTAGGCCATATCATATTTAAGAGACAAAAATTATAAAAAAACAAAAAAAAAAAACAAACAAAAACAAAACATTATTTAAAGATAAACCTTTTTTTGGCTTGGAACTACCTTAGGGTTAGTTTTGTGGCACCAGCAAAGTTATTGACAATTATGTTATGAAATACCTAGATAATGTGAAAAAAAATAAATGTTTATAAATTAGATTATCAGTAAATAATAAAAAATAGTAATATAATACACAATAAAACAGATAAAAAGTAATTTTGCTCTGTTTTACAGCTCCTCGGGAACCACTGTCATGCAGGTTATAGGTTTCTCCCGGCTGCTGTACACCTAACCTAACCTAACTTAAGAAATAGCTTGATTTCTGCAGAATTTGATGGCATGCAATGAGGCCATGCATCACTGAACAGGTGTTCTTGATATGCGTGGTTTCCTGGGTTGGAAAACGCAGCTGTAGCAGGTCACTCAGGACCTACTGCTAGTCCATTCATAAAACATGCTTAACAAGGTTAGTAGTGAGACAGAAATACCAACTAACTTACAGACTTGTTATTTATTTATTTAGCAGAGGCTCCCAAACTTATTTTATAAATCAGTTTTATAAATATTTATATAATATATAAATTTAAAATATAGAGATTCATAAAAGACAGTGGAGGTGATGAAGGCTGGGTGCAACTGAACAAGCAGATAAAGTTGAGGATTTCCCACCTGACAGATCCTAGAGACAAAAGAAAAAATTCTTTATTGCCCCTGAGTGGTGCTGAAAGATCGTAGTAAAGGTCTGTGCATCTTCAATTTTGCTGATGACTCTCTTTTCTGAACTTTTTAGTAAAATTAACAGTATTTGGGATTTTTACAGGAATTCTAAACTACAGAATTCAACAGGGATCTGAGAAGTTCAGAACAAAGAGCTAAATGAGGGGTTAATGGATAGTGGAAGCATAGGAGCTTTTTCTTAAAGAAAATATTTATTTTCATCAATATATTTCTAAACTGTTAATATATAGCATTTTTGTCAATCAATATCTGCTCAGTTAAAGGCCCTACAAGAAATTGCATCTGCATCACTTCTGCACAAATTCAACACAAAGAACTGTGAAATAAAGCTTTCATAGCTCTAAAGTTATGTTCAACAACGTTAACATTTCAAGCTGTTTCAATCCCTCCATTTGCTCATGTCTGGGCTTATAAAGTTATGTTTTATACTCTTCCAAGTGGAATTTGCAACATCGCTGCACATGAAGGAGGAGCGAAACCAACTACACATCATACCATATATACATTACAAAGAAAAAACAATGATGCAAAGGTTTGCACTTTCAGACAATGTAGCTCTTTTTCCATCATCAATGATGAACAGATCAAACTGAGTTTTTAAATAAAAAAATTTGATTACAAACGGGGGATCTAGAGTCAATCATTGGCCGCCAGTGTGCCCCTCCTACCAGGTGAGGGGCACACCTGGTACAATCTTCGGAACAAGCAGTTCCCATCTGAACCAGAAGGTGGCAGCAGTTATCTTATCTTGTTGAATGTCCTACTTTGACATTTTAAAGTTGCTTTACTAACCAAAGACTGACAACAAAAACATAGCAATAAGGGATAGTTTTTCTCTGTAGTCATCTCAATTCTATGTGAATAAAAGTAAATAACTGCTCTAACCATTTAATGTATATGGAAGCATAAATTAATTTAAAGAGCTCCAATGTAGAAATATGCGTTTAGCTTTATTAACAAGTGCGTCTTATAAATCTGGTCTGTTTTCAGTGATTTATTTGGAAAACAGAGATAATTTTCCTGCAGTTTTATTGTGATCAGCATAGACTGACCATGAAATGCTTTTGGCTCCCATTAGTTTTCGGCCACCCCTCAGTTGGACCCTGCCTGGCTGCCCCTATAAAAATATTCTGGAACTGCCACTGATAAGATATACCTCCCTAAATATTTAATAAAATAAATCACATGGACTACATAAATACATAATATTATATTTGCTATGGACCATATGGCTTTTGATCTAGGGGCCAAAACTATGCAAGAACAGCTACTGAACTGCTGTTGGGACCCGAAATTAAATGTAGTCTGTGATGTTAAACAACTTTTAAACAGAGGCGCAGCCAGACAATTTTTATATGGGTGGCAGGCAATAACCAATATACACTGAGGGGTGGCTGAAAGCGGATAGGCACCAGAACCTCAGGGTCAATCTACACTGTTCCAACAGGAAAATTAACGAGCGCAACATCCATATTTTCCAAATAAAGACTAACTATACTTTCCAACAGCCTTTGCTAATGAATAGACGCATATATTTAAACATCCATTGTTTCTAAATTAAAGGTATAGTGGATAAAATTCATTCATGTTTGAGTTCTGGGACAAATATCTTTTTAATTGTCATTACTTACCTACTTTTATCAATAATCCTTCAGCATAAAATTGATATTTACATGTAGTGATATCTACATGAATTGATTGTTTTATACGTTTTTATTAAAATACTTATTTATCTATGATTTCAATGAAAATTCCTATATGACACATTATTTTCTCTTTGCCCCATAGAACTAAAAATCTAGTTCTTAAAAGAGTAGGAATTCTGTATTAATCATATTTAATGTTAGCATATTGATAAGCATAATTAACCACAGGTTTTTTATTGTCAAGTAATTGGTAATATATGAAAAAAATAAAATGTTTTGAATATTCCACTTGAGAGCATTACTGCTGCCACTGTCTGTATATGAGGGAAATAAATGGTAGGGGTGGCCAATGATTGGTTAAAGGAGGGCATGGCCACCCATGGCCCCTCATCTAGCTCCGCCCCTGCTTTTAAACTGAATTTAATTTTAAAGTCTTAGGTTTTGTTGCCTTATTTAATTATTTTTTTTATGTATTTATCTTCATTCAAACGTATGAAATCACTAACATACATTAGTGATGCTATTGAGGTTTAAAATAAATTAAATTAACAGTGAAGGCGTAAACTGTGATTTCTGGAGCTATGATCTTGTTAGGACTGGCTCAATTTAAGATTCGGGGATGCAAGTCAAATTGCAAAACCTTTTTTTCAATTTAAAGCTGCAAAAAACTGTAACAAAAGATAAGAAAACACAACTAAATATCGCACAGGACCCGAGCCATGTGATGTAAGTTTTATTTGGCTGATGTATTTTATAAAATGAGTTACTTCCGGGGCTGGTGGCACGTCCCAATCCTCATCAGCGGTTGATTAAAGGCGGTGGGGGCAGGGATCAAACGCGCCGCATCCCAACAAGTCTGTGCTCCGCGCGCTAGGCAGCCAGCGCAGAGCCGAGAGGAAACCAGCCTAGCTCAGATCAGATTAAACATAACAACAATAATAAAACAGAAATAATGGCCGGTGGGAGCTCCCTGGAAGCCGTGAAGAAGAAAATAAAGTCTCTGCAGGAGCAGGCCGATGTGGCGGAGGAACGAGCGGCGCTACTGCAGCGGGAACTGAACCAGGAGAGGAGCGCGAGGGAAGCAGTAAGCTGCTAATGATTTAAGGCAATTAGGGCTCCTGGCTGCGGGAGGAATTAGGTGCAAATCCGGTCAAAAAGCGTGGCCGTTAGGCCCAACACCCTGCGGTTTATGTCCGAACAGAGCCCAGTCGGTTTTTAGGCCAATGGGTTTGAGCTCAGTGGGTCAGTGTTGGAGGTGAGGACAGGATGGAGACTGGAGGGACTCCACCCTTGAGCCGCCGCTCCGCTTTTAAAAGGCTAAAAAAAAAAAAACTCACAGGCTGGTTTACGCATTTGGAGGTGCCTTTATCCTGATCTGAACCGTGTTTCATATGTTTTTTATGCACAAGGGAAAAAAATACAAAGATGGTAAATGGTTCAGTTTGCGAAATGAGACAGAATTTTCCCTAAATGAAACTTAAACTGTTGAGAAATGCAGGGCAAAATCAGCTCCCCCACTCCCTCCTGAGAAGCCCCTCTTGTTTTACAGCTCAGACCTGCTTTATCAGCGCCTGATCTCTAACTCTGGTTGTGTTTCTGTCTCCAAGGCTGAGGGTGATGTAGCCTCCCTGAACAGACGCATCCAGCTGGTTGAGGAGGAGTTGGACCGAGCCCAGGAGCGTCTGGCCACAGCTCTGACCAAGCTGGAGGAGGCTGAGAAGGCTGCTGATGAGAGTGAGAGGTGGGTAGTCTGCTCGCTCATTTCTTTGAGCTCAAAGTCCGTTTATATATAAAAACACTGAACTCCCATCAGTGATTATTAGGTCAAAAAATAAAACAAACCAAGAATAGGTACCTAGTAGCCAGAAATTTTTTATAAGGGTGGCCAATGATTGGCTAAGGGTAAGCCCATCATCTGAGAGCATAGAAGTTGATTCGGTTTTAGAAATACTAAATGTTAATGATATAAAACAACCTTTGATTCTTTTTTTTTTTTTTGTTGAATTCAAAATGAAGGCCTTATTTCAATAACATACAGCACATGTTACTGTATCCTATTTGCTGTAGGCCTTTGAATCAAACGCTCAGAATCCAGAAAACCCTCTGAGGTTTTTATAAAACATAAGCATTAATCACTGCTCTGCAGTGCTACAAAGAAAAACTTCAATGAATACATGAACCCTGAAGGTCTGATGTTTCTCAGTTTCAAAACATTGTAGAGAAGTGATAGAAAAGTTTAACTCTGTGAGAAAAACTGGGTTCAACAAATCACTTTTTTTGTTAATTTTGGCCACAAGTGTCAGATTATATGCACCCACTCAAACCTTGTTTACCCACAAATCATTGATGACAAAGAGTCTATAGTATATATCTGTTCCAATAGGACATCAGATATTTTTATTTTGGTAAAGAAATGTAATTTCCTTTCATTCGGGTGCTCTAAAGCTGCACTGAAGTTTTATAGACAAATTTCCTTAAAACTTACTTTAATGCTTTTTTTCCTCCATTCCAGAGGTATGAAGGTTATTGAGAACAGAGCAATGAAGGACGAGGAGAAGATGGAGCTGCAGGAGATCCAGCTGAAAGAGGCCAAAAACATCGCTGAGGAGGCTGACCGAAAATATGAGGAGGCGAGTTCCTCAGCTCCCTAAACGTCTCCACCCTCTTCCCTTTGATATAGCAGCTTCCAAACTGTTTGCAGGGATTTGAATGATTGCTGTTTGTGTTGTGAGTTCAGGTGGCCCGTAAGCTGGTGATCATTGAGGGTGACCTGGAACGTGCAGAGGAGCGTGCCGAGCTGTCTGAGAGGTAGAACCCCCATCCTTCATCTGTTCTGCGGTCGATGACCTTTAATAGTTTTTACAATTTTCCTTCTACGCTGCTGTAACCCTGCAGTAAATGCTCTGAGCTTGAGGAGGAGCTGAAGACCGTGCAGAACAACCTGAAGTCTCTGGAGGCTCAGGCAGAGAAGGTAGGCTGGTTAGTCGGGTTGGATGAAATCCTGATGTCAAATAATGAGAAAGATGTCAAGATTTTCTGACTCCAGTCTTTGTATGAAACTACAGTACTCACAGAAGGAGGACAAGTACGAGGAGGAGATCAAGGTTCTCACAGACAAGCTGAAGGAGGTCAGTGAGCTCAAACTTTTACATTAGATCCATCTTATCTGGCTTCTAATCCAGCATTTTGAAAGTTCATTACTTGCTACTTTTCAGAAATGTTGATTGTGGTTACAGCATGTTCCCCATCAGTGATGCACTTTTATTTTACCGCCATCAATGTTAAATGTTGACGTCTTAATGGCGGTTTGCTGACTTTACTTTGTTCTTCCGCTCAGGCTGAGACCCGTGCAGAGTTCGCTGAGAGATCAGTCGCCAAGCTAGAGAAGACCATCGATGATCTGGAGGGTATGATCACTTTTTTCCTTAGATTTTTGTTGCGCTTTATAAAAACAATCATAGGGATTTCTATTTCTTTACATAATCAGTCTCCTAGTTAAACACAAGTGGTGTAAGGTTGTTAATTTAGTCTGCAGGATGCAGCAATATGGCTGTACCTGCTGGTAAAAGGCATATGAATATGATGAAACAAGGAGGCTCGTTGTTTATTAACGAAGTTTAACTCGTATTTACTTTGCTAATAACCACTGTGAGTAGAACGATAAAGGAGGCAGAACATATTTTATGATTATAGTTTGAAAGCTTCAGTAAAGAATGGCACCTTAATGTTGTCAAGTCTCCATATGTCATTAAATGCTTTCTAAATGCCAGCTTTTTAGGAGAGATCAATAAAATATTCAACTTGCCTGTTAAATGGAACCATGTGCTCACGTCAGACTGAACCCATTTTCACCCCTTGCCCCTCCGGTCCAATGGCTGGGGCGTCCCGCTTGTTTTCTGGTGAAGGACTTATTGGCTAATAGCCCTGAAACATTTTCTGAGATATGTTTGGGGTGAAATATAATTCATTTTCTACATCCCAGTAATCGCTGTAAACTTTGATTAAGGTAGACTTTATTGATCCCACAGAGGAGAAATTAATTTAATCTCATTTTCACTTTAACATAGGGCACAGGATCTGTGATGCTGTGGTCTTTTTGATCTTTCAAAAGTTCTATAGATCTCGTTAAAGTATGCTTTCAGAAAAATCCTTTAAATATGAAGCTATTTCTTGAAAAAAACAAAAAAAACAATTTAGTGCTGTCTAGTAGAGAACTTAAATGTGTGTCTTAAAAGATTATAATCAGAAATATAAGGCTAATTCCAAATAAATAGTTTACCGCAAACACAATCGCCATTTTCTGATACCTTAGGCCTAGATTACCCAAGACAACCGATGGCAAAAGGAAAATGAAACACTCTGGATAATCTAGATTAGGGGTAAGGGGAGTCCAGGTCCAGTCCTCGGATGCTGTCATCTCCCCTCTGACACTCCACTGTCAGATTAGTGGCTCATTATCAGGCCTCTAAGATGAATGACATGCTGAGGGAAATGGTGACGATGGAGGACTGGACCTTGAGATCCCTGATCCAGAGTTTGTGCTATAAGTGGTATATTCTGAAAAAGCAGGAGCACCAACAATTGTGAAGGATTCTGTTCAGCAATTATTCATCATATTGGTTTTCCTACATTTAAAAAAAGTTCTTAAATTGTTGTTTAGATTTATTATTACTAAATGTAAGATGATGCTTCTGTGGTAATATTTATGCAAGGCTTTTTAAACTTTACAACAGATGTCAGCAAATTTCTCAGCTTTATATTTGCGTGGTCAGTTATTGACTGTATAGGTGTGACATTATTCATGCTGGCAGTATTTGTCACTGCGGTGCATTTTATCACTGCTCCAAGTCCCCAGCATTCATCTCTGGGTCATGGAACATGTGAGGCTGGTTTTCTGACTCCTCAGGAATTTGACCCGACATCGGCAGCTGTTCCTTTTACCCCTCCTCTTTTCTGCCCCGCCTAACTTTCTTTTGGCAGTTTTTCTGTTCCTTTTACTTCCATTTTCTGATATTTTGTATTTTCTGTTCTTGTTTTCACACCATCCACTGCTACTTAATTACAATTACAACTTGATAGACGAGCTGTATGCCCAGAAACTGAAGTACAAGGCCATCAGCGAGGAGCTGGACCATGCCCTCAACGACATGACATCCATGTAATTTACAACATGCTTGATTTTTAACTTTTTTTTTAGACCCCCAGATCTCTAACCACCGTCTCAGTAGCCCCCCCTTGTGGCATGTTTGAGTGCAGTGATCTAACTGGTTTTAGCTTTAGAAGGGTGCAGTTTTAGCTCTATTAATTTATATCTTTATACTAACTCTTTAGGCAAAATAGTGAATCAGTGTTATGATTTGATGTAGTTTTTTTCTTAACTCTCCTGCATCACAGAAATCAGTTAATTTTCCAGCTTTTCTAATTTTCTCTGCATCCATTTCCCCCTTTGCTTTTATATTTTTTTGTTTCCATTTTCTCCAACTTTATGTGCTTTTGTGTTTTCACAGCTAAACCTTTACACTCCTCACTTGGGAAGCTTGTCGAACATCATCATTTCACTCCTGCGCAGCTCAGCCCGACTTTCTGTTTCTCTTTATTTTTTTTCTGTACGTCTTTATTGCCCTGCCATGACTGCACATCGGGCCTGTGCTGCCAGCATCCCTTGTTCCATCTCCTAAACAGAACTTTGAGCCATATTGCTTTCTGTAAAATAAACACTTTTCCATCTGTCTATGCACAATCTTTCCCTTTCTCTTGTGATGTTCTTTTTTGTCCTTCACTGTTTTATTTATTTTTTGATTGGTAGCTTTTAAATAAACTCTTTAGCTCCCCCCTATTTACTGTTTATTTTTTTATTCTGTCTGAATTTAGGGGGCTATCATGGAAATACTGATATTAACCATTTAAAATTATGACTGAATGCTCTGCTCTGTGATGGATTAAGAAAAACACAAGAAACTGGACTCAATATCAAATTAAGCCAGTTAAATTATTCCCTTCTTCCTTCATTTCAATTTAACTTTATTTACCATAAACTTGTCAACATTTTTTGGGTGGGGGTGAAAAAAAACATACATCACAGAAAATCTGAGGAATTCTGAATTTATAACTGAAAGATGTATGAGCGCTGTTGGAGCTGGCAGATTATGGCCAATAAAAAAAACCATTCACTCTGCTCTCCTGCAGTTTTAACTGCTTCTTAGCCTTGCGGTTGTTAAACATTGTTTTGAAAGCGGAGTCCAAAAATTCCCTAAATCTTCGGATAACCTGCCCTATTCACTACTAAGACCTTACTGATCATCCACCACAGCTGAAAGCTGGAATTATGCTTTAATACATCTTCTAGAACATGACTGGCTGACACAAACTGTTGTCCAACCTGCATATTCCAGTTGTGTCCACTCTACCTTTTAAAGGACTGTACATAATGCAGTTTACAGCTAGTGTTTGTAAAATTTCCTGCAGGATGCTTGATGGAAATGGTAGCCGTTTTAGTCAAAAATTAAATGGACAGATTTTAGACTAGTGTCATTTATGCAATTAAAGCCAACCTTGCTGAAGTCAAAACAGCGACTGAATTAACTCTTAACCCCTTGAACCCTACGGACCCACCGGCGGGTCCAGCTTCTACATGACCTCGTAATTTTACCAAACCCCCAGTATTGATGTAAAAAACATATTTGGCACAGTTTGGTGACATTTATGGATAAATGTGCCAAACTGGCCCCTCCGCCTAAGAAATTTCTCACTAATACCATTCTAAAATAAATGATTCATCTGACTGAGTCCAAATTTGGTATATTTTTACACAACATTTAGATTTGAAAGTCTGTACTACTTTTTTGTGCTATAAATAATATTTTGGTAGTGTTTTGCAATGTTTATTTCAAAGAAAATTTTGGCGAGGTTCAAAAAATGCAAAATATTTTGTATTTTGTCCCTAATATTTCAGGCAGGGTCAAAGCTACAATGGTGCTGACACCAGAAAACCATTCTATGACATCTTACCTTTACAGACGTACCAAAAGTTTCTTCTTAAATCTAATAGCTTTGAGGCTATAAGTTATTTACTTTTGTGTGTTTTTGTCAGGCAGAAATTTATTTATACCCCCTTAGGGTGTAAGAGGTTAAGACTAAATATAATGTGTGGTAGAAGGCAAGACTTGGCAACCATAAAAGATTGCAAGGAGAAACAGGGTAATATGTCACAGTTTTTACTTTAATTTAAATTCCCAAAAGATTTTAACCTCAGTTGGATCTATTTTAATGTCTATCAGAAGCCCAAAGTGTCAGGTCTGAACAGAGGGACCTTTTGTTCTGTAATAAAAATCTGTGCAGAAGATATGAACCATAAATTACAATATGTGCTTTCGTGATAATCATCCCCACTAAGGTTTGGTTTTCCCAAAGCTATTTCAATGGGAAAACCATAAAAATGAATACATTTTAAGTCTTTTGATTCTAAAGGGCTATTGAGAGGAGCACAGAAATTTGAAAAAATTATATTTTATTGTGGGAAAAACAAAATCTATCTCACTATAATGTCGGCTCTCACATTATAAATATTTGTCAGCCCAATTTAGGAAATTTCTGTATTAATATATTGCAACGACGCCCCCTGAGGGGGCGGGACAAACGAATGTGAAAACTAACCCTGTTCTCCACTAATATTTTAGAAAGTCTCATGGATTAATTTGAAGATATGCAGGTTTTGGTAAAGAACATAATGAGGGGCAGTTTTTCTAATCATGAAAAAGACAACTTGGAGTGGGAAGAAATTATCGATTTATCTGAAATAAAGCTGTGTGTTTTATTCTGGGTCTTTTTCCACTAACGCTTTGTCTTTATGTACTAACTTTTCCTCTGTTTCTTTCCATTTTCTCTAACTGCTTTCTGACTGTCAAGACCATCTATACAAACAGCTTGAGAAAAACCGCCTTCTCACCAATGAACTGAGTGTTGCCTTAAATGAGGCCTAACCTGGAAAGGTTTCACTTATGCTGGCACTTTTTTTTTTTATAACTGCAGAATCTAAATGCATTGTGGATTTGTTAGATTAAGCAGGTAGACTTCTATCTACAACAGTGATATAATCAACAAAATGTATATTTGACACTCTGTATATTCAATCTGATGCGTAAGGTGGGATCTGAGGATTTTTTTCCTTATAATTCTGGTTTAACTTGCTCTGCCTTAATACCAATGGAGTGGGTTACTTCTACGTCTACATGTCATCTAGAGTCCCAGGATCATTTAGAGCAGGGTTCCCAATTTCCGGTCCACAAAGTCTGTTGTCCTGCAGAACTGATTCAGAATCTAAATAGGGCAGAGCAACAGATCTTGATGGCTGGAAATGAGGAATCCTGATCTAGAGTTACGTTTGGTTAAAAGGGAATTTCTAACTTGGATCAGCAGGGTTTCTATGAGTGTCAATTTAAGAGTATAAACCTTAATTTAAGTCTCAGACTTAAAATGTGTGACTAAAGACAAAATAGGTTTGGTAAGTCCATTATGTAAAATTAGATAAAATTGTTTTCCCTTCTGTTCTGTAACAAACTACAAACATCTAGTTTCAAAAACCTTCTATGGAATGTTAATGGGGAATGTTGAAGATTGAAGATTGAGGTTATGTTCTGTTGCTGTTTAGAATTAGTTCTTCAGCGAGAACTACTCCAAAATGTATCAATGAACATGCCACTAGTGTACTTTTAGAAATATTTTATTTTGCAAGTTCTACCAGTTAGAAATCATGGAGGGGTCTGAAATTGTCATCATAGGTGCATGTCCACTGTGAGAGATAGAATGCAGAAATCACAATGTATGATTTTTTTTAACTATTTGTATGATACAGCTGCAAATAAGTATTTGAACACCTGAGAAAATCGATGTCAATATTTGGTTCGGTAGCCTTTGTTTGCAATTTAGAGGTCTAACATTTCCTGTAGTTCTTCACCAGATTTGCGCACACTGTAGGAGGTATTTTGGCCCACTCCTCCACACACATCTTCTCTAGATCAGTTGGGTGTCTGATCTGTCGCTGACAAACATAGATAATGAGCTCCCTACAAAGATTCTCTATTGGGTTTAGGTCTGGAGACTTGCTAGGCCACATCAGAACCTTGATATGCTTCTTCCAGAGCTACGCCTTAGTTATCCTGGCTGTTTGCTTCAGGTCATTGTCATGTTGGAGACCCAGCCTCGACCCATCTTCAGTGCTCTAACTAAGGGAAGGAGGAGGTTCCCCAAAATCTTGCAATACATGGCTCAAGTCATCATCTTATTAATACAGTTCATTCACCCTGTCCGATGTGCAGAAAAATGGCTGCAAAGCATGATGCTACCACCCCCATGCTCCACAGTAGGGATGGTGTTCTTGGGATGATACTCGTCATTCTTCTTCCTCCAAACACGGTTAGTGGAATTATGACTAAACGGTTCTATTTTGGTCTCATCTGACCAGATAACTCCTCTGGATCATCCAAGTGGTCATTGGCAAACTTAAGACGGGCCTTGACATGTGCTTGTTTAAGCAGGGGAACCTTCCGTGCCATGCATGATTCTAAACCGTGATGTCTCGGTGTATTACCATTAGTAACCTTGGAAACGATGGTCCCAGCTCTTTCCAGGTCATTGATCAGCTCCTCCTGTGTAGTTTAAGGCTGTTTTCTCACCTTTCTTAGGATTATTGAGACCCCATGAGGTGAGATCTTGCATGGAGCCCCAGTCTGAGGGAGATTGTCAAACGGTGTTTGCTCTAACAGTGGATAATTTTTCACAAAGCTGCTTGGCAATTTCCCAGTAGCCCTTTCCAGCCTTGTGGAGGCTGTAAAATTTTGTCTCTAGTGTCTTTGGATAGCTCTTGTTAGTAGTTGGATTCTTACTCATTTTATGGGGTGGACATTCTGGCCGCAGACTATCAGGTCTTTGAGGGTCAGAATTCTAGCCGATAGGTGTTCAAATGCATATTTGCAGTTGTTTCATACAATTTGTATGAGAATTGTGATTTCTGGATTTTTTTTTTTTGGACATTGTCACAGTGGACATGCACCTACGATGACAATTTCAGACTCCTCAATGATGTCTAAGTGGGAGAGCTTGCAAAATAGCAGTGTTCAAATACTTATTTTCCTTGCTGTAAGTCTGTAGAACAAAGGCATTTAAGCTGTAGCTAAATTCAATCTAAGACCAATTATGGACGCTCTGATGAATTGGACTTTGCAAGTTCTAAAATTTTGCTTTTTAGCCCCACAGAAACTCTGGATAGGTGCACTTAATTCCCACAGATTTTAGATTAACAAGAATATAATTGAGCATCCATGTGGAAATACTTTTGTAGCTGTTTCTGCTTGATTTCAGTGTCTCTTTATAAAGAAATCAATTGCAAGTTTTGATTGAAAGAAAAAGTGGTGGTGCAACTTTCTTGGATTAAGGTTGGAACAATTTTTCAAAACAAGAAAAATATTTAAAACTATTGAAATAAGTGGGACAAAATATCTAAAAACATCCAAATTATTGTATTTAGCCCCACTTAATGCATTGCTGACAGTCTAGGCTTTGTTGGTCAATAGCTCAAGCTAAATCTTCCTAATGATGTAAAAGAATTCATTTAGGTTTGGATCCTGGCTCACAGCATGAGCCCACAGCTGAGAACCTGTACTTGATAGGAAATACTTGATAGAGGGAAGAAAAAATGAGGTAAAGTCTCAGCATGTGTCATCTTACGTTCACTTGAACATTATCAA